AAATCTAAAAGTCAGAGTCACAAACCATTTGTTTCAGCACTATATGAATAATTACTTCATTGGTGTTGTTTTCAATTTAGCACCTTTATTATTCATTTTGCACCTTTTTAAAAATAAAATAAAATAAAATAATTTATTAGAATTGCTTTTAGTCCTTATTTAGGCTCGGTTGTTTAGGTTTGATTCATCCAGAACCCAGGGTTGATTGAATGCTGTCCAGCTGTTACTCTGTTACACTGAAAAACTCACAGGGTTTAGTCTGAGACATAGATCAACACACTGTGCCCAGATACAGGAAACAAGATTCACACTGAACAAGCTGAGTTGGCTTTTGTAACATGCCAGACTCATATAAGAAAGATATAAAAATGTGAGTTTCAGTTATTGATATTTTTACCTGCAAAAATCAGAAGGAAAGAAGAATCCTACTACAGTGTTGGGAAAAAAACAACTAAGAAAACTTCTTTCACCAGTTAAAAAAAACTGCCAGTTAAACTAGCAGTGAGGACAAAGGGCCTCCTGAACCACTCAGATCTGCAGCAGTATGCCACTGCTGCTCCTCTGCCCAGTCAGGAGGCTGTGGAGCGGGTGTCTGCTGTTGTCCATTATAGCTTTCATTTTGTTCAATGTATCCCTCACAACCACAGTCTTAAGTGTCCAGCCTCCTGCCAAGCACAGTTGGCTTGCCCACCAGCTGGCTCTGCGCCTTCGTGTAGAGCATCAGTGTTCAGTGACCAGTAGAACTTCTCATCCAGTGGGACACCCAGATATTTATAAAAGTGCACTACCTCAATGTGCTGCGCAAGTATGGACAAGCCAGATGGTCCAGCCTCAATCTCGTGAAACCGTCACCTGCATCGTTTTAAGTATATTTTTGCTTTTTAAAAGCATGCCAAACAGAAACCACAGACTAAGCCCATAACACATCAATGAATAAGACACGTTTGTTTTTGTCACTCAGTGCATTCAAAACAAGTCAAAAGAAGAACATGATATCGATCACTTCCTCTTTTGAGTTTCCCACTTCAGTCTTATAAAAAGAACTGACAAAACTGTCCCCAAGTCACAAGTCATCCAGTCCTACTCATGCAGGACAAGAGATACGTCTTCTTGCCATTACAAGGAACCCAGTATGAGCAGAAGGATTCTCTCAGCCTTAATTTAAAGGGGTTTTGAAACATAACCTCCACTGGTTTGTAACTTGAGTTAAATAGAGCATATTTTTAGGTGACTTATAAGCAAGGAGATGCCCAAAGTAAGTAAAAACATAGTTGTGCCTGGTTTTTTTTGTTTCTTTTCTTTTAATTTCTATGTGGATAAAACTGCTGAATGATAAAGAAACAGCCACACAATTACAAAGCACATTTTTTAATTGAGGCATTTGATTGCAATGGTAACTCTTTATATTACAAACTACCAATGTTTTTAGCTGAAAACACGTCTGACATCCTGCACATGAAGACATTTGGACATGGAGGTTTGTGAATACGTTCGAACGCCTGTCATTCTTCTCACAAATATACAATAATCCCCACAAATGACTCAAAAAGGTTCCAGCTACAAGAATACATTTTAAATACAAATCTTGAAGATCCAGCAATCTTCTAAAACTGGTAAAAAAAAAAATTAAAATAGAACAGGAAAATCAACTCTACAAATAGAGACAATCTTCATATGAGTCCAACAGGCCAGGATCTGACACAGATCATAACCTTTTAGCTGCGAGAGTGACCATAAGGATGTGATGGTCACAATGAACCATCAGAGTCAGATCATCTCCCACCTATAAGAAAACAAAAGATCAACAAAGTTCAGACATAATAAACCATGTGTCACATCAGGGAAAATAACCAAAACATTGTAAGACGATAGAAAACCTGCCAACCTCTGAATCCACGTCCACCACCGCCACCTCCTCTTCCTCTGAAGCCTCCTCCACCACGGCCTCCTCCTCCACCACGGCCTCCTCCTCCACCACGGCCACCTCCACCTCTGCCTCCTCGAAAACCACCTGAGACAAAAAGAAAGTAAAATTAATCAAACTACTCTTGCATGCATTAGGCTTTTTCCATTTTCAATCTACAAAAGTAAATACTGAGCAAAAACTGAGCAAAATTCCTAAAGAAAAACAAAAATGTCTGTTTTGTTATATATTCTAAACACGTAGCCAGAAGATTAAATTAAAATGAGAATGCCATCTTACCTCCACGACCACCACCCCTTCCTCCACCTCTGCCTCCTCTTGGAGGCCCCTTTTCTCCTGGTGGCCTCGGGAGGAATCTCTGCAGTGGTAGTAGCTTCATCGGATCTATATAAAACTAAAAGACAACATTTTGGTTAGAAATCTAAGATATTAAATTAGTCACTAGAAAAGTTTAGTGAGACATTTTTGGTACCTTTTGTAGTTTCTTGAATGAAGATGCCTTCATATTTTCAGAAAGTTTTACTGAGAAATACTGCAAAGGTGGGTTAAGGAAGCAACAAGAACACTGACAATGTCAAACAGATTCCCTACTTAATCAAAGGTTTAGAGAAAAACAAAGACAATAGAAAGGATACAAAGTCTCTGAGTTGGCCAAATATCTCATCGACTTTTCCAATCTGCTCCTTGTTTTCCAAGTACACTGGGGCATTGAAATAGGGAACCTTGTTTTCCTCTGTTGTGCACTTGCAGACAATGTCATCTTCACATGGATGCATGAACTCTCCCACTGCTGTGAAGACAATGAAACACAGTTAAAGTTTAAGACGTGCAATACCATGACTGACACCCAATTTAAATTTCTGTCTGGTTATATAATACGTCAGCATATGCTTGACTGCTCTGCAGTTCACTTTATGGGCATCCAGCACAAGGTTTCTGTAAGTCTGAAATTCTTTGGAGGCCGAGGGAATAAATGGGGGTTAAAGGAAGTGACCCAGAATATATGCTAAAACAGAGACTTTGAGGCACTAGAATATAAACATATAAAAACAAAGTTCAAATAAGTTGGAAAAAAATTGTTTTTGAACAGCCCAATGAGTAGAAACACAGATACATCTTTAACAATATTACAATGTGGACTTAAAAATATATTCCATGGCACCCTAACTCCTGGTACAGCATGTCATATTCACATTTTGTGGGATGATCATTAAATATATAAAAGATTGTCTGTAATGCAGTTTGCATTTAAACACTTACATATTGCTCATATTATTATTACTATTGTTACTACTACTATCACCACTACTATTACTAATATTATATAACATCTTTTTGGTTTTCTGGTGTTTTTGGGACAACTTGGAAACATGTAGTTAAAGTTAATTAACATGAACTGGATCTTGAATACCTCATGTAGGTGACACACGGTGTATTAATTTCATACTCTCGTCACATAGAATATCTACTGAAGTTCACCATTCACACACACCCAAAGGTCCACCGTTGTTTTAGAGTTGCCTGCTAACACTGACTGGAAACGTATGCTTCAGTGGGCAATGTACATAGCCGCAGACACTGAGAAACCCTATAATGCAACCTACCCTCATAAACTGACATGCACCTCCCCAGAAACTTAATTACATGTCACATCAACACTGCCCACTACAACCGTGAATGGCCTGTTGAATACCTTTGATTTCTCCTATGCATTTCTGGCTACTTTTTTGATGCAGTGCTAGAATTTGTCAATGACAGAATAACAATGTAAGGATCTGTTAAAGGAATAGAAACCATAATACGGACTCACAATCGGCAGCAAATTCCTGGAGGGAGATTGCCAAAACTATTGGAATGGACACTAGGGTAATGTACAAAGATGTGGAAAAACTAGAGGAACAATTATAAAAATGACAAAGCATAGAGTGGCAACCCAGAAGGGGGAAAAAAAAACTTTCTGGTATTTTTGTTTGTTTCTATCGTGACTGGCACCGCATGTAAACTGCCAGGACTCTACCACAAAGTAATTAACACAGTAAATGCTGGCTTGATAATGTCATCTTACATATGTTACATGGGCTTTACATAGATTCAAGCAAGATGGTGTGCGTGGACATCTGCATGCCTGCCTGTTCTTTTTGTTTGTTTTTGTGACTGCACAGACTAGTTCCTGGTGACTTTTCAGCAAACATAGAAAAGAAGAGACAGAAGACAGGCAACAGGACAAGTCTTGTTTTCCACATCCTTGGATAGTCTCCATCTTTGATGATGACAAAATTCTCACAGCCTACTCATCCACACCATTTCTCCATAACTGTGTAATGGTAATATTACAGAGTCAGTGTTTTGGCAACATCAAGACTGTTTACTTGTATCTCAATGGCTGAGAACTCACGCGAAGCTGTGGTAAAAGTTTAGCTTCACATGTGTATAAAGAAGCACTCGGTTTAGCGTTTTGTTAGAACTGGGCTTACCAACAACATATTCAGGAGGTCCATAGTCTTGCTGTCTGTTGAAACCCCCTCTTCCACCACCCCGTCCAAATCCTCCACCACCTCTGCCTCCACCGTATCCTCCTCCACCTCGTCCAAATCCTCCACCACCTCTGCCTCCACCGTATCCTCCTCCACCTCGTCCAAATCCGCCACCACCTCGTCCTCCTCCTCCTCTGAACGACATTTTCCTCAAATGCTCTGTAATAAGAAATAACGAAAACACAAAGACGACACAGCTCACGTGATTTCATGCTTGAAGCTAAACACTTATGAATGAATTAGCCTGCCCATGATTCAGGCAAACTATGCCGACTTGGAAGCTCTTTCTTATGCTAGCTGAAGTCGTTAGCTCACGTTAGCATTACTCAGTCATTCAAAGTACGAAAATTCATCTGTTTTTTCTAACATAAACCAACACGATACGTAGTCGTTTAAAAACATACACACCGAAAAAGTGCGCAACACTGTTTTTGCACAAACAAAGAAAATTACTCACAAATTTGACCGAGTGGCTAGACTTCAGACCGCCCTGCCGAAATTCCATGCGACTACAACACGTGTGACCGTAACGTGCCGTAAAGGCACCGGGCAGTCTCGGAAAGTGTCGTAAATGCGCTGACAGAGCTAAACCATTGAAGAAAAACTAGAATTAGAAGAGGGTGCAACCTGTCTGCTGTTTGACTCGGTCAGTTCAACCTTACCCACTCAAATGTTGATATAATGTAACTCGCAGCTGTTTTGGTGATAAGTGAAGATTTAATTATTCCTTTATTTAAATTATTTTGTTTAAATACAGGCTGTTTTATATGAAGACAGCATCTGTCAACAATGGCAACAGTTGGAAAGGTAAGAAAAAAGTTGTTTTTAAGCTTTTTTTTTTCTTTTTTACTGTTTGTCTTATAAACAGCTACTGCTGCTTTTTGGGGGTTCTGCTTTTCATTCGAAAGTTTTCTGTCATGGAGAGTGTTCGTTGTTTGTTTCCATCTGTAACAGCGCCCAAACACAGTCACTCATCCTTGCAAACTTGTTTGTTTTGTTTTGGGGTTTCTTCCCCTTTAGGTGATCACATGCAAGGCAGCTGTTGCGTGGGAGCCCGGGAAGCCTCTTTGTATTGAAGAAGTGGAGGTGGCACCACCTAAAGCTCATGAAGTCCGAATTAAGGTTGGGCACAGCTCAAATTTGTCAGCAATATGACAATACATATGATTTGCATATGATTAATCTAATTTCCTGTTAGTGTGACTGTTAACCACAGACACTTCCACTTCCTAAAACTGTCACATCATTTGGCTTGTACAGGTTGTTGCCACAGGTGTGTGCCACACAGACTGGGAATACCTGTTTGAGACTGGAAAAGGGATGAAATTCAGACCATTCCCTTTGGTACTTGGTCACGAGGCAGCTGGCATAGTGGAGAGCACTGGCCCAGAAGTCACCAGATTCTCCCCGGGTAAAGTGTGCCACAACCAGTCAGATGACATTTGTCTTATTTCTCTTTTTTTTCTTCTCAGACTTACATAATTGTTTTGCTGTTTTCGCAGGGGACAAAGTTATTCCTCTTTTTCTGCCATACTGTGGGGAATGTGAACGCTGTCTAAGTCCAAAAACAAATCATTGCAAGAAAAACTGGTGATTTTATTTCCCCATTTTTGAGACAACCACGTTTACTCTATTACTTAAAATGTGTTCACGTAAATACTGTTCTTTGTGGTTTTTAGGACAAATATGCAAGCTGGAATTTTGGCTGATGGGACTAGCAGGATATCTTGCAAGGGACAGCAGGTTTACCAGTTCCTTGGAGTCAGTTCTTTCTCTCAATACACTGTGGTCCCCGACACCTCGGTTGCAAAGATAAGAAGCGATGCACCGCTAGACAAAGTCTGTCTGCTTGGATGTGGTGTCTCCACGGGTTATGGAGCTGCTATTAATGCAGGCAAGGTTAGAAAACTGAACTCTAAAGGTTCAAACTAATACTCTTAGAACAGATGTGACGAAGCAACAAATTTGAAAAGATATATTGATAAACATGACAATATATAAACAGCCAAGCATATTTTAACCAAAAAAAAGGAAAAATTTGTGATATTTGTATTTGGAAGTTTTCTGTCTTACAATATGCTGCAAGACTGTAGTCATTTAATATCAACACTAGATGGCAGAAATGGCATGAGTGCCTCTAAGTTTTCAGGATAAGGTGTACATGTCAACTACTTTAATTTGTTACTTTATACAAATTCAAATAATGCAAAGTAGTGCAATTGTTTACACATTTGTATAACATGTGAAATAAATGTTCCTGTTTTGGCTGCATGTGGAAAGAAATCTGCTTTAAAAATTGCCAAAGTCACTGAGGTGACCCTTTGTGAATAAGGGAGCAGCCAAAAGTAGGTCCACACACACATAAATAAAATGACAAAATGACAAAATCAGGACACTTTTGTACTCATTTACTAAAAAGAAACCAACTAAAAATGAGTGGAAATCCTTGCATGCGTTATTTATTTAGACATAACTTTAATCAAGATTCACAGACCTGATAATATCTCATGTATGCGTTTAAAGGAATGTACTCTAAATGTTATATTTACTGTAAAAACTATCTGTGAAAATGCTGAAATGATCTTTAAGAATTGTTAGTTGACTGGCTTCCAACTTTTGTGCGTTCAGGTTGAAAAAGATTCCTCGTGTGCCGTTTTTGGGCTTGGAGCTGTCGGGCTGGCTGCTGTCATGGGTTGCAAAGTTGCCATGGCGAGAAGGATCATCGGGGTTGACATCAACCCTGACAAGTTTGAGAAAGCCCGACAGTTTGGAGCGACAGACTGCATAAACCCAAGAGATTACAGCAAGCCTATCCAAGAGGTTGTGGTGGAGAAGACAGGTGGAGGTGTGGACTATGCGCTAGAGTGTGTTGGAAGTCCAGCTATCATGGTGGGTGCCTCATTTGAAATTTGGCGTGCGATTGTTCAGTGCAAATTAAGTCTTGTGACTATAATTGGAATACACTGTACAATGTCTTCCTTGTTAACCTAGATTTGATCTCTTTTGCAAAAGTGACACAAGTGAAACAGTTCTATAATGATGCAAATACAAAATGATAATTAGCTAAGCAACTGCTTCTGTCACCCTAGAATGCTGCATTTGAGTCCACAAGAGATGCCTGGGGTACTTGCGTCATTGCTGGATGGACAGAGACAGAAGTAATGAGCATTTCAGTTGAAAAGCTTCTCATGGGACGTACCTTAAAGGGCACTTATTTTGGAGGTGAAGTAAAAAAAATTACCATACATATTAGATTATTTAACAGCATTTCATAACGCATCAACAGGTTTATGGTAACTGGTGTAATTGTGGAATTGAGTGATGAACATAAAATTGAGTGTATCATCCTGAAAAACTGTCCCTAATGTTGCCCTTCAGTGCAAAATCGAATGTTATATTGGAGTAAAAAACCTTACTATTGGATTATTAATATTTAAAATGTGTTAAAAATTATATTACAAATGCTTTGGCATTAGAATTTTATTTTGTAATTTTTTTAGGTAAAGCATTAAAAACAATCATTGCTTGTTTTCTCTGATCAACATTCCTGAACCTAAATATTATTGAAGTACAATTTAATAACCCAAAGAATAACCCCAAAAAATAGAATCTGTAAAAAGTCTTGAGTTGTGCTCAGTTAACAAATTAAACAATCGATGAATCGTCTAAATTTCTGTCAAAATACCCATCAGTTTTTGGTTCCTGAGTTCAAAACGTATATAAGAAGAAGTTCAGTGAGAACAGACAGTTAGGTATATCCTACATAAACTATATAATCACTTTTACAGTTTGTAACAATACATTTACATATGTTTCATGTACTATGAGCACATCAAATTCACATCTGATGTGCACTGAACTGGCTGTGAATGTGTCCACAGGACGGTCTTACAACAATGCAATTCATATTACATGAAAACATGTTTACAAATTGAGCTTGTTAACTTTTTCTAAAGGGTGGAAGAGTGTGAAGGATGTGCCTAAACTGGTGGATGACTACATGAATCACAAGTTGAAACTGGATGAGTTTATTACGGAGAAGCTCCCGCTGGTTCAAATCAATAAGGCCTTTGACCTTTTAAAAAGTGGTAAAAGGTGAGACCTTTCATATGTGTACATAAACAACAACGAAAAAGTCTACTTAGCCATAAATATTGGGGCTGAATTGCTATATAGGGACAAAATTGTGTATGTAAGAAAAGTATTTTCAAATCTTTAACGTCTGTCTAACATGTTCTGTTTGGTTAAACAAATCACTAGATTCAATTTGATTGATCTTTAGAAATAATTTCAGAAACTTATTTCCCAGGACATTAAAATTTAAATACTATTTGGTATAGTGTGTCCTTAATATTTCTATTGATTAAGTATTTGATTACCTTGAGACCTTAAAACATCCAAATATTCACATTGATTAAGCTAGAACAGTGACTTGTGGCTTAAAAAAATGGATAATGTTTGTAGTAATGTCCACTGGATTGATTAATTGTATAAACATTGCAATTCTATTGTAGGATGGATGTTTTGGTTCTGTTGGGAATTGAAACTTCGATATTAATTCATCTTCTTCTTTTTATTTTCTTAGCATCCGCACTGTCGTCAGCCTTCAAGATTCTTAAACAAAGGATAAACCTTTAATGTCTGCTCATAAAATGAAGTATTCTGTCACTTTTATAACATTTTGCATTGTTTTTGTCATTTTTGTGTTAGTTTGACAATTACAATATTTTCCATGCTCGGCTTTGTAGGAAATGACATGCCACCATCTGCCACTAGATGGCAGTCGTGTAAAAGCTTTGATGTTTAGGTCCACTAAAGGCATCATCTCAATAAAAACAGGTTTTCAGTGTGCAAAGAATCATTTATTCATGTGGATTTCTGAGATTATTGTTTTTGTTTATCATGATCCATCACACAAAAATGTTTACTTCTTTTTTTTTTTTGTAAATTGGTTGTAATTTATAAATATACAGCATCTGCAGGAACATCAGGGCAATTTTTTTTTGTCATGCTTGGAAGCTGCAACGATGGTCATTCTAATCCAGATATCAATGTACAGCAATAGTTGTAATTAAATACCCTTGTATAGAAGGTGCTCTAAAAGACACAGGAACCAAGTAGCTGAATCTGTCATAAACCATGAAGAAGCATCTGCTTCATGTGGTCAGGCTTACCAAATTTCGTCCTTGGTAATATTATATATTGATTTAAATGGGAGTCACAGAGAAGGGCTAGAATAACAGTTGTGGGCTGTCAGGACAGAAGACAAAAGGTTGTTTGGGGAATGCCTCCCAGTGAAGAGCTGAAATAGCTGCCGAAGGAATTTGTTTTATTGAAGTTCCATTCAGATCAGATGAATACCCTTGGCACTTACCTCACTTTTCCATCTTTATTTAAAATGGAAAATAAATTGGTGCTCTTCCTTCCTTTCCTTCTCCTCTGCCTGTATGCTATCAATCACAGATTATACAATTTAGGTCACCTTCTGTTACTAAAAAACCCTCAAAGTAGAGAATGTTGTCGAGAAATAGAACACATAATAATGCACATAATGCTGCAGTAGAAGGAGATAAGAGGGGAAGATCAAAAGAAATAGGAAGACAAGTTTTGACAGGTGGTTATGTGACTGGGCACTGTCATCTATAAATGTTGGACATGCTCACAGATTTATAAGGCTTTCTTGCGGACATGTGTCCAAATATCTGCCTCATCCATGGGAAAACTATCCAAAGTGACGACCGTAAGTCTCCCACCTCTTTTTTCCCCTCTTTGTTTTTGATCCTTGTAACCTCTGGAATTATCACAGCATTGTGCACCAACACAGGGAGGACATGTTATCTGAATTACAACCTCAGCACTGTATGCATTTGAAAAGCCTTAACTGTCCATCTCGTCATATTTTTCACTCATCTGTACAGCTTTTCTGCAGATATTTCTTGGATACAACCTTTTAGCATGAAGGAGCATGGAGTTGAATAGTGATAAGAGATACCAACCCTGATATTTACATGTTTTTTCCCCCCTCTGTTGATTTTCTTTTCGTTTTCTCTTGGTATCATTACTTTCCTGAGACTTTTAGACACGATACTTGAGGTAAATGCCATGGCACAAATAAAGGTATGTCTGGAAAAAAATCAAAACATGCTGCCTTGCCTTTTCACAACATTTAGAGTGGGATCAAGGGATTTCCTCATATTTATTAAGCTATATTCCTGTGTGACAGGATGATGGCACATTATATATGCTAAGAATATAAGAATAGTAGGCAGAAAACAGTCTATGTGGGTTTAAAAAAGAATATGCTATATTGGTCTTTGTTTGTTATTTCATGTCATATGGAAAAGGTTTCTCTGAACACAAAAGAATTAGTAATGGAAATAGAAGGACGCGGTTGAATATTATTTGTCTTGTGGAGTGGCATTGACTCGATGAGATTCGCTGAAAGCAGCAGCCGATGTTTAGCTGTTTCACCCCATCATTTTCACATTCCTGCTACCTGGAATCAAGCTGTATGCATTTTTATGATTACATTTATGTATATTCAAAAAGTAAAAGACATTACTTTAAAAAAGTTTTTTTTAATTTTAATTTTTAATATTTTTCTTTCTCTGCCACATTAAGGAGAATAAATAAATAACAAAACTAAAACAATTAAAGACGAAAAAAAGGGTCAGTTTCAGCAACATGGTTACACAATACAGCAACGCAATGCATCTACTCTTAGTAATATTTATTCTTTTACTAGATATTCTGAAATAATTTAATACACATCTAATTTATATTTGGCTTTATCTGTTTTTCGTTCCCGTTTCACATTATGGCTGCTTCAGTCACACAGTGAGAATTCATATCAAACAAGAAAAGTGACAGGTTTATTTGTTTTTCACTGGCTAACAATTAAGTCTGACAAAATGTTGAGATATTTTATTCTATGACAAATACATTTTCTAGAAGTGTTTCACTTTTCCATTTTTTCATTTCTTAAGGACATTGATGATGTATTCAGTGAACATACAGAAGCAATCATTCTGTATTATATCCATTCTACACACAATATATTTTGATGTGTTTCAGTGGCAAACGCAGTGTTGCAAATATTCAGTGTTAACTACTTTTAATTAGTCTTTATATGTTCTTTTTGCAGTGCGACATTGCAGGGCTTCAGTTCTATACGATACTGATATCACTGTGTTCTCATAAACCTCTTGCACACTTGTTTCGTGTCACTGGAAAATCAAAAAAGTAAAACTAAAATTGATCAGTCAAGAAATTACAATATCCATATCTGTGAGAACTAAACCTGAGACCAAGTAGATATACTGTATAGCCTCAAGGCTATGGAAGAACGGCCCACTTAAGTCACTAAAGACTGCCAGTGTGAGGCCCCTGTTTTATCAGCAAATCCTGGCCATTATACGGCTAATGCCAGGCATTGCCTGTGACATTCCCGGTCTTTCACTGACACGGTTAGCTTTAGCTGCTGTGTTAGTGGAATATACTCAGATTCACTGGAGGACAGCACAATGTGGTACTTAGTGTAGTGGAAGGACAACTGGTTTTCTGCTGCATTAGTGAACTGTGCAGTAACATATCTGGCACGGCATTGTGTGTTGTTTTTTAAGTGAAAAGCCTACTTTATCTAGGTATTATCATTTATTTTTAGAAATTATGGCTGCCATGTGTTGAAGACTTGATAACAGTGCATTTGGCATTATAAAGTGACTGAAATGGATTCAGATACTAGTGTTGTTATAGTAATGTTTTCCATGCAACAGCACTCTAAAAGCAAAAGACATATGACATGGCTAACAAAAGTATATACAAGACTATTACATTTTTCTGTGCTCCTCGTACAATATTAAAATCTATAGTTACATTTCTCAGCGGCATTAGTGTTATACAAAACCTTTAACCCTAATAAGAACTTTATCATGCACCCCTTATTGAGCCATGCATGACCATATGTTTGTGTTTTATAACCTGTGACACTGTTTAATAGTTAAGTTGCAACAAAGAGCAGGATTAGGCAGACCACACATGGCTATTACCAAAGAGACACACAAACACACACATACAGAGATACATGCGTGACAGGTCTAAGCTTTTGTTGTGTTTTGTCTGACAGCAGCAGTAAAGTAGTAATTGAGAGATTAGCTCTAAGGTGCTATCATGGCACTCCTTTGTTTAGTCTCTCCCATAGTGGTCACCCAGCACATCACCAACAGGCATGGGAAGGAGTCATACTCTGGGGTAGTTTGAGTCTAGCTTTTTATAGCTCTTATGACCTAGTATTAAAGACTCTGAGGATACATTTTTTATTATATATTAATTAGATACCATGGCAAAAGTAGAGAATCATAATTTGTGTTCATGCTCTTACCCGTGACTCACTGTCACTTGACTTAAATGTAGTGCCCCAAAACAGTGGAATAACTTCTGACCCTGTGGGCTTGACAGGACTTATCCATGACAGACTTGAACACAGCCCTATCCCATCTGCCACTTATTCTTTGTTTTAGTATGCTAACTTTGAGTCAACAGAGTATTTTGATGTGGTTATGGCATGGAGGTAGGGGAAATATTTCTCTGAGACCCTGTGTGTTTACCCGGTAATCCCGGAGAAGTTCACAAGCATGAAGAAAGTACTTGGAGATTTACCTTTCTTCCAAACCTGCTCAGTTTACCTCTCCCCTGTTTCCCACAGCCTCATGTGGCTGAGGTAATTCCTGGGAGGGTTTGTGAACGTTTTATTTATGTGACTGTAAGAACATAATTGATATGAAATAAGTGGTTGTGTATCTACATGGAACAATTTAAAATGGTCAATATGCTGTAGTAATATGCCTTTAAAGCGAGTTACATTTTTATAACATTTTTTGCAGTTTATTTAAAAGAACTTTGTTCACCTTTTCCCAAGAATATGATGAGATAAAATATTAGGATAAAAAAAATCACGTGAAATAAATTGACTTTAGTGGTAGACAAGCACTCGTTGTTTTTGGCCTTGAAAAATATTCTGGCTCTGATGGCTCCCAAGTTGAACATTGCTTCATAGGAGTTTCAAGGTTGTGGTAAGACAAGAAAAGTCAAGATGAGTGCGGTTGGCCATAGTTAACCTTGCTCTACCACCACGGTGAAGTACATCATTCTGTTTTTCCACTTTTCCTCACAACAACTCACCATTGTTCCAAATTGAGGCACCCGGATCACGCTTCCTTTTTTTACTGCCTGTCCACAAAAAGACTGGGCCAATCCCAAAAAACACACACAGTTGATACACTTTTCTTTGGATAGTAATTGTGGTGAACAGAAAAGAAACCTGAAATGATCCATTATAGGTGGCTGGGTTAGATTACTCATACTCAACCATCCCACAGTTTCAATTACACGTGGGCAGCAGCAATTCAACTGAGTAATGCTGAATTCACATATACGTGTATTTAAATATGTACGTACCTGGAAGTCTAAATTATAAAGACACTTTGTTTTGTGTCTTTAGGAGTCTGCATAGCTGACAAACAGATTCAGCAGTTTTAGATAAATCCATCTCACCGATGTACACAGAAATGTATGTAGTGCTAAAGCAACCGGAAACTAATGCCTCGAGACTTAAGAGAGTTTAACTTTTATTTTTTGTATTATACTTTATATTATAGCAGTAATGAAGCAGGGCACAGACAATATTTGAATAATACATTTAAGACAGTAAGAAATGGTGTTCAAAAGCAGATACAATATTATTTTATTATATTGTAAATTATATGGCCGTGTAACATTCAGATGAACGTCACGACCCAAAGCTTGCGTAATGCACTTTAGTGAGATGAACAATGTTAGTTGTATCACCTATCAATG